ATCCATGCCCCCGGTAGGCAACACACCTCCCTTGAGACGGGGTCTGGCCGGCAGATGAGTGCTTCTGTCCCTTTCAGTGTAGAGTCCCCTACTACTACGACCCGCCGCTTTTTCCTAGTAGCACCAGTAGAGATCTTTAGCAGTGCATCAGCCGGCTGTTTCTGGCTCGAGTGCGCTTCCTCATTAGCCCCCTGCAGGACAGTAAAGCGGGTCTGAGTGGGGACAACAGATTTAGGGGGAAGCCCCTCGCTTTTGGTTGTCCTTTTCCTTCTTTTTTTTGTTTTTTTTTTGGTCACTAATTCCCAGCTACCCGGGTTAACAGCCTCCTTCTGTCCTTCATGAGGTAGAGGTGAAGCTCGAGGCCCCTGCACAGTTTGGGCGTGGAGCAAGCATTCCTGCTTCCTCTCAACTTCCCTGACATCTCGCAGCCTATTAACAGCATCCCGCAGCTCAGCCCCTGCTGCAGGAGGACCTCCACCAGGGAGCACCGAGTGCAGCCCTGCCCATTGTGCACCCTCCCCTCACCAGACCAGTGCAGGCACTCTCCTCTCTACACCTCGAGCTCTGCCCTGCAGCCTCCCCTCTCATCGGCTCTGTCTGGGTGCCTACGCTGGCCACTGCCGGGGCAGAAAGAGCAGAGCTCCCGGACCGGGCCCTGATCATACGACGAGTGCTCACCACTGTGCTCACCACTGTGCTCACCTGCCCGCTCACCTGCCCGCGCGAACTCCCTCACCGCGCTCCTGGTCGCTCTCGCTCCCTGGGTCAGGTTTTCACCCAGCCAGGGCTGGTGCCGCTGCTCCTGGCTCCGCCCCGTGTGAGTCAGCTGCTCGCTCTCGTCAGCTGAGCTGCCGGCTCCTGGGCAGGTCCTGTCGAGGACTTGAGGCTCCCTCGGTGGCTCTCGTCGCTCTGAGCTGAGGCTCCTGGACGCTGAGCTCCCCCCGGCTCCGGTGTTGAAGGCGTCCTCTCTCTCGCTACTCACCTCAGCAGTTGACACCTCTTGGGCCTGAAGAGAGCAAAACCCTGCTACCATAAAATCTCTAATAAAGCTTCTGGTTTGGTTTGTACTTTATATGTGCCGCATTTCATCCCACGAGAGCGGCTCCAAGATGCTCAGGACATGTGCTGAATGGTCCGGGGTTGCTGGGGAAGGTCCCCTGCTCCCCAGCATCTGCCAGGGAGATCATCATGCCAGTCCTGCATACTGAGAAATACACAGTCCTGCAATGGGAAACTCGTAAATCTGTAACCTCCTTCTCTATTGCTTCAGTGGAAAGTACAGGAGGAAGCATCCCACAGTATGTTTTTTCTGGTGGGGCTGAGTGGCAGAAAAGGGTTGCGAGAAGGGATGGTAGCATGAACGGAGCAGGAATCGGCACTTTTCTTATGCCCCCTCCTCCCCCTTATCCATTGTGATTATGCACCTGACCCATCCACCTTCATCTATACTGAAAATATGGTGCTTGGCCAACCTCCAGCCATCCTCTTTCTGTGCTGGAGCAGGTCTCATTTGGAGGAAATTTCTCCTGCCATGGAGAAACCAGAGCAAGAAGCAGTTTCCAGGTGTTCATTCCATTATTCATTGTTATCCTCCCCTTGGGCCGCCCTGAACAATTTCCTTCCCATGCCCTCCATGTACATCCTTCAAATGGTTTTAGGATATGGCGCTGAAAAGTAAAATTTCAAAACACCAAAAACCCAAAGCATTGAAAACATTTAAATATCTTGCTCAGCTCTTTCCTCCCAGTACCATTGTCTTAGGAGGGCTGGCATGGGACCAGACTTCTTTCTTATTACCAATCTTAACTACTCCACTGGGCATCGAAAAATAAAGCCCTATAAAAGTCACTAATTAAATAAGTTCTCCCATCTGACCTAATACAAGCAACATGGGAGGTTGCATGTTTTTTATTTTTTTTAGGGGTTGTTTTTTTTTTTTCCTCTTCTCTTTTTCCCTCTCTTTTGTAGAGCCCACTTTTCTGATGGGGATTTGTTGTTTTTCTGGTAAGGGAGAGGGATTTCAAGGTCATGGAATGAATAAATGATGATAATGCGCGTCTGTGGGGGGAAGCGAGCACAGTGAGTGCATGGTGAGTGAGCGTGGCAGCAGCTGAGGTGCTAGCTCGGGGGTAACAGGGCTGGGGTTGTCCCTCCCCATGGCAGCTGTGTGGATGCTCAGCATCCCCGCTATTGTTTGCTAGGGCACCGCTCCTTGTTTTTAATGTTCATTTTTATTTTCTTCTCTCACAACCCAGGAGTGCATGAATATCTCGCCTGAATGTCCCCCACCCCAAGGCTCAGCAATGGGCCTTGTGGGGTGTGTGCATGCCCCAAAGCAAGCAAGACTGAAGATTAGTGGCTGGATTTCCTGTTATTCTTGGGAATTTCAGATGGATTTGTGTAGCTAAATATTCACCATGCTTGGCTGTGGTGGCTCCAGCACTGTGCTCCTGCTCTTTCTCCACTCTTCCTCCATGCTCCCTGGTCATGAGCCCACAGCTGAGGTGAGCTGGGTGGTCTCAGCCCACCGTGCCGCTGTCAGGGCTTCACAGGGTAATGTTCTTTTCTTTTCTCCTGACTCACTCACTAACAAGCTCACCTCTTGCAAGAGCATCCCGAGGTTTTCTAATAACAGGAAGCCTGCCCCAGGGTCCAGCTGCATGTGGGAAGAGGTCTGGCTGCTTCCAATTTCGAGAAACAGAAGTGTCATGAGTGGCTCCCATCTCAGCATGCTTACTCCCTGGTATCCTCCATGCTACCTCCAGCACTACTGTAATTTTTTTCACTTTCTACCTGAATAACCCAAGGGATTGCAACTGGGATTGACCACTGCAGAGACAGACATCTCAGGGGGGGAAGGCTGCAGCTCCTGCAAGGTGACAGGTAGGGGTAGGGATGATGAGCCCAGGGAGATGTGCATCTCCACTGTGGCTGCCCTGCTTCAGGTCACCAGAAGTCCCAAAGTTGGTGCTGCAGTGAAGTGGACACTCAAGTGTTTGAGCACACACCACCAGAGGATTTCCCATATCTCCCTCCCTTCTTTAATGCAGAACTATGGGCAGTGAAAGGTCATGCCCTTTAACAAAGTGAGGGATAGGATCTGCCCAGCTAGACAAGCTCTTTGGCTGCTCCTCCTGCCTCTTTTCACACCTGGAGAGCCAAGCAGTGCAGACCCCCAGGGATGTCTCACAACAGCCCTGATTTAGCTTATTCTAGGCCATGCTGAGAATTATTAGCTGCAGGAGTCCGTCTGTCTCCCTTCCTCATTGAGGCTAGTTTTTTTTTTTATTATTATTTTAGCTTGGTGCTTCATTTCCCTCCCTACCTGATCTATTTATCCCATAGTTTTTACTCTACAGCTAGAATAAATAAAGAGCATCTGAGAGGGGGCTACAGCTATCAGGGAGGACAGGGATTGGTGCACAGGGCTAGAAGAAGGTGACGGGAGCCTTGCCTGGTGCTGGGCACTTTCCTAATGCAAACTCACAGAGTATTATCCCTGGGGCCAGGACCATAAGGAAGCCATGTAGCATCCACACAGCTTTATTGCCATGGCTCTTGTGGTTGAGTGCCGCTGTTGGTTTCCAGCACAAGGCGCTGCCGGACAGTGCAACCTTTCTGCAAACCTGCACAACAGCAAAGCAACCTACAGCAGCTTCACGGAACCAGCAGGCTCATTGCTTAACCCATGGGAAGGTTTCACATGATTTCTCTGTGACTGGTCACTTCAAATCTTCCAGGAAATGCCCTCTGGCTATTAGTGTTACATGAATATTCCTGCATACTCATTTATTAATGAGAGGCCTGTGGAAATTACAAACCCTAAACAAATGCAGGAGACTGTTCATAGAACAATTAAATTTGCTCTGTACCAGCTTGCGGCCTGGAAAATCATCCCTGAATTGGGCTCATGTCAATCTAGTAATGAGACAAATATGCTGTGTGACTCAAATGGCAGGGTTCTCCTCTGGCTTTCTGAGCTGTGGTGAGTGCTTTTGGTTAGGGGCTGTGACCCTGCAAATTTCAATTCAGTTGATACTTCATGAAAATTGCATTATTTTTCTGTGCATCACCTATAATCTCAAAAGGCTCCCTGCCTCATGGATCTTGTGCTAAATATGTGGCAGAAAATATCAGAGATACCTGCACAGGCCTCTTATTAGGAGACAATTTCCAGAAATGAAGAACAAATAAGCTGCACACCAAAAGCCAGGATAAGAAGGGCATGAGCACAGCTGTGATGGAGTGAGCTTTTCTCCAAGCTTCGTAAAACACCCTGGCCAAAGAGTTAGCAGGACCTAACTGGCTTCTTACTCTGCAACTCAAGGAGGAAACACTTTGAATTTCTATGTTCTTTATATATTAAAAATATAAGACACATACACTGTCACTAATTTATTGCCTGAGCAAAATTTGATTAGGAGAGAAGCCAAGTCTTGAGTGCAGAAAGTGCAGAAAGAAACTGTCCTCCAGCAATAGAAATGATCGCTGAATATTTAATATGATGTAGAGCATCACAGCACACCTCAAATAGGAAGATTAGGAGACTTGGCTCTCCCTCTGGTGACTTTGTCTGGACCACTGAGCTCTCTTGTTGCCATCCTGCATTGCAAGCATCCTTTGCGATGCCTGTGTGCTCCTTCAGGCTACACAGTGGGGATGTCTTTCATTTTAATGTGGGTAAAGACTGACAGTAATTACAGGTGTTTGGGGGCTGCTCTGGGAAAAGCAGGAGATGAGTCACGTTGCTTCTTCAACCAAGAAAGGCTGTGGATAAAATATAATCATTTAGCCTTCTGCAGGTGTTTTCACTGGGAGGCATTGCGTGTCTCCTGCAACCTCTTGTGCTTTACAGTCAATGCAGTTCAAGCTAAAAATGTTTTTAGTAGGGAACTTGGCACTGGATGGGGTGGTAAGAATCAGGAGAGAGCTGCGGAGCTTGGGGTAAATACATGAACCATTTGTTACTGAGCAGTAAAGGAAACCTGCTTTTTCTGCAGGAAAATGCTGTCGGCTCATAATGGACGGCCAGGTTTAAGGCAACAGGGAAACAAAATGGATTGTAAATATATTATAGCTTAGCCTCCAACAACAAACCTACAGAAAGAGCTTTTGGTTGGTTGGTGCGTAGGGATTTTAAAAGGAAAAATAAGCAAGATCTGCTCTACAGAGAGGGTGCGAATGGGTCAAAGTACAACACAATCTTGTTGAAAGAAATTAATATAAAATACAGAATACAGGCATATTATCTGGCATTCACACATAGCTTAAATACAGTGCCTCAGTTCAGCTGTATATTTGCATCAGAATAAATCTATAATTGAAGGCTTGGTAAAAAAGACTAGTCTTTTTTTTTTTTCTATTTTTTGTAATATTTCAATGGAAATATCCCCATGTTCCTAGCTTGTTAGGGTGCAGTCATGGAGGGAATAACCCATTACATACTTCATTATTTTCCAGATAGCAGCGGAAATCTCCTAGGAATATTTGAAATGTGAAGGGTATTATAATATCTAAAATCAAGTGACATGAATTTTGATGATGTGTCAGCATTTACAACTGGTAATGCTAATGCTGATTTTTGGGGAGCCATTATTCAATTTGCACCTCAACAGCACGTATGGTGAGTATTCCCTTACAAGCAGGTGCTCTGATCATTTTATAAATAATACAACAAAATAAAGCATAGACCCCTATTTTTTTACCTTTCCTTATTTGCAAACCAAAGCTTCAAGATTACCCCTGATATTTTGTAACATCAGCCTCTGAGACACAGAAATGTTGAAGCAAATCCCCACATGTTCAGAACTGCAAGCAGTATTCAGTGAGATAAAATATTCTTTATGACAGTCTAAAAATCTGAATTACCCAGTCTAGTACATGCTGAAATCTACCATGGTGCGTTAAAGCTATGACAAACAACCTCTGACAAATAATTTGGTCATAATTCCTAGTTTAGCACGCGTCATGGCAAAACAGTGCAATTGGAAAGGGGTGCTGTTGGGCAGCAGCAGATGCTACTTTTTAGTGTCAGACTAAGTTTGATTTCATGCAAACCTACTTTATCCATTTTTCTCTGACCCCCCCCCCAAAAAAAAAACAACAAAAAAAAAACAAAAAAAACAAACCCCCACCACTTTGCTTTTTCTAGAAATTCTCTTGATTTTATAGAATGTTTGAAACTTGAGAAGAGACTGGATATGCTTTGTCTCCATGAGAACTACATCCTGATAGATTTAGTGGAGAATGTGTCTGTGCTCCATGAATCTTCCCCTTGCAAATAGCCTAATGTATTGTTTCCAAATACTAATTCTCTCAACTTCTTAAAATCCCTTGGCACTTATTGTATTCATTCCTCGCAAGCAGTAGTGAAAACAAATGTTCTCTGTGTAAACAGACTTTGACAGAATGTGGGAACTTAAATAAATATGGTTATAATATGGTATAAAAATCAGCTTCAAATCTGAAGCAAACTGAAAGTGCATGGGTAAAGAGTCTTGTCACTCAACTTCAAAGTAAATTCCCAAGTATATACTGAGATGTATTAAGACAGGTAAATACCAACTCTGAGGCTCCTAACTGCGTCATATGTTTGAAGACACTAGAATTGTGTAAATATACAACGTTAAGTAAAACAGTTGCTCTAAAACGTCCTTTTGCATAAAACATGCTCTCATATCTGTTTTTCTCCTTCGAGAAAAATGAGCATCCTACTGCAGCTGTTTTCCTCAGCTGGCCAGAGACACAGGGTGTAGCTCTTCATTGGGGTGAGCAATGACGTCATAGGAATGATGGCAACCAAAGATATTTTGAAGGGTTTACATGGCTTATTTAACTTGGGGGAGGGAGGAGGGAAGTTCTTACTCCAGAAAGCACAACTGGCCACAAAGTCTTCCTATCTGGTACCCTGGGTGGTTTTCTGAGGCATGAGGCCAAAGGCCAAAAAAGCAAAACCACCCAAAAAGTGTAATAATTACTGTTCGGGGCAATGGCTGCATGAAATGGAACTTATGAATAAAGACAAGGAAAACCCATTAAGTAATACTACTGACATGCGTCTGACATCGCCAATAGCCAACCAGCGCTCGCCACTTATGCTCTGGATTTCTGAAATCATTTCTTAGTGGAATAAGGAGTTTCTAATTCATAATGTCTTTCTACAGATGCTGGAGGATACAGGTTTGCCAGCCATTCATGTTCCCAGCCCGTGTGCTGTTAATAAAGCCAAGGTTTAGTTGAAGCACAGTAGTGGTCCTCTGTTGTATCTGTACTGGAAACAAGTTTCAGATTCATGCAATAATATAAATTTGCCGTATACGAGCATCTCTTAAACACCTGTCCCTGACAGTGCCAAGCTACTCTGAGAATTACAGGGGGAAGAAATGAGAGAAACCATTTTCCACACAAGATGTAGCGCTGCAGTGGCAAATACACTTTTTGATTACATAGTGCAGACTTCAGTGCCAATTTCAGAGGCAAAATAAAGGAAAATAGGGTTCAAATGATGCTACAAGCCTGGAAAATGTGTCTGGACCACATAAGAAAAGCATAAATGGAAGATTTGTGACTTGAGGTTTTAAGTCTTAAGGTCCAAACAGCTGCTTTGCTTTCATAGTTTAATAGCAAAGCAGTTTTAAGGTGAAATGAAATCAGAGCTGAGAGGATCAGCTGAATAATGCAGCTGCAGGATGAAAGCTGGATACCTGCTTTCTAGAGGGTGATACTGTGGTCATGAAGATGGGGATAGTCCTGCAACCAGGCAATATCTCCCCTCCAAAAGCCTGCAGCCCTTGTCCTCACCTGTGTTACGGTATTGACAGTTTCTATTGGGTGTGAAGAAGACACTTTTCTAGATGAAGGCATTATCACTGCCTGACCTTAGGGTGAAAATGGACTCTCCTCTCTCTCTGTAGGTACAGTGCGGTGTGAACATACTAATGGCTCTAAAGAGTCGATCCTTTTTTTTGCAAGATTATAACTCTGTGACTCTAAAAGTGTTTCTTTTCACTGCTGAGGTCCAATATGCAATTAAAGAAGCTGCCCCTGCTTTTGAGGAGCAACATAGTATTTTGACAGTTAAAGAAGAAGTCATTAGCAAAATTCAGATATTAATCATAGCTAAAAGAGGCACTTTAGAAAGTGCCTGGTTGTTAACTGGTTTTTACTCTTTTGGAGGTGTTTTCAATGTAGAAGTAATTGTACATCAGCTGTGTGAGTTGTACTTGAGTACAACTGTATATTGGAATGGATGCTATTTCTGAGACTTCAAGAGCCCCCACATGCTTTTATTTAGCCTTCCTTATACAGATGCTGTACCCATCTTGGCACATGTTGTGGTGGTATTTCCACGCCCCTTTGATCGCTGAACCAGGCTGCACGATGTGATGATGCCTTACACACCAGGAGCAGGCAAAACGCAACCTTTCTGTCTTGCCTGTACAGGTGCAGATGGTGAAATGGCTGAAGACTGAGTTGGATGAGGTCTGGCATGTTCGTGGGAGTTTCTACTCTGCTCCATGCCAAGTAAGCTTAGCTTAGGTCTCCTCCATGCAATCAGGCATGCGAGGCACCAAGGAGCAGCACAGCCCTGCAGAGCAAAGTGGATGGGGTTGTGTGGCCCCCTGTTTCCTCCATGGGGATGCACCAAGCCCAGCCCCGCATGCCAAGACCCTTCTGCACTCTGTGGAGGGATGCCCAGTGAAGAGTGGCAGTTGCTTGCTCGTCAATATCTCAAAGCCATGCTTCCCCAGGGGTTCACAGTGGGAAGGGTCCATTGAAGGAGAAGGCTGGGGCTGCCTGGTGAGGTGAAGAAAGCCAGCTCTTGGACCACCCCATGGTGGGAGGTGGACTTGTTTATCAGCACAGCTTGCCTGGTGCCACCCCTTTTCATTTTAGACTGAGTCAACCCTCCAAACACTAATGAATGTGCTCTTGTAAACAAACACCATGGGTTGTTCTTTTTTTTGCTGTTGCTGCTGCTGCTGGGTGGTTTTCTTTTTTTTCCAGATAAAACTGCTTTGCCTTCAGAAAGCAAGGAAATGTAACCTTTGCAGACTCTTGAGCAATTTTTGAATAGTCCCTCTTGGGATGGAAGCCTTTGCTTTCCTGGAGAAAGAGGCACAACCATGGGCTGTAAACAGCTCAGAGACAGTGGTGAGGGCACAGTGCAGGTAGGAGGGCTGCCCAGGGCTGCACCCCAGTCCTATTCTGCAAACCATGGCATTGCTGAGCCTGGTTCAGGGGTATACCCAATGAGGGTGCAACTGCAGCATCAGATGGTGTTGACAATGACAGCACTCAAAGGAAGGCAAAGGTTTCACAAAGAGCAGGAGAGCATCAGGAGCATTAAAAATACAAAGAGAGAATCAAAACTTTTCCTTGACCTCACCATCATTGGTGGCATGTAGAAAGAGATGTGGCAGGGATGGGCAGTGGAGTCTACAGCAGCTTGTCTGTCTATTTGGTGTTTCTCATCTGTTTCCCTCTTTGTTAAATACCTATTTTTATTTTTTTTTTTTTTAATTCTGCTCTTTTCATGCTTGTGTAGCTCTGTTGAGTGATTCCCTTTGCCCTGACTGAGCATTAGAGCGTATCCCAACAGCTGGCACCTGGTTAGCCCTGGAACCTACTGATGGCTGTGGAAGGATGCAGTGATCCCTTCCCTGCCTCTAGAAGGGATAGGATGCCTCTGATAGCAATGCCAGTTTTCCCATTTTCTCCTTTCCTGTCCCCTCTGTCAGGTCTGTTAGCCCAGCAAAAGCACTTAGATGCTTGCACATCCCTGTTTGTTGCTTGAGTGCTGCTCTGCATGGGAAGAAACTTTGCTCTTTCTTGAAAATGCCTCTAAATGTCCTTTGTTTGTGTGGCCACAGAGCAAATTAGAAGTGGTGAGACCACCTCAAAACTCAGAGGGGATTCTGCCTCTGTACATCACAGTTTGGAGGTTGAATGTTATGAATGTTATGAAACTGAAGATGACTAATCTCACTGGGACATTTCCTAAGGATGCTGCCTTCCCTTGGGTGAGCATGATCTCCAGGGTTTCTTTCATTCATTCATTAAGCTGAGTGACTTAAGTATTGTCAACTGTAAAAAAAAACCAGTTTTTCTGTGCTTACTACAATAGTCCAACCACGAAGTGGGAGTGTTGGTAAAGAAGGAATTATACTTTGTGTTAGAATCAGCCAGAAAAGTTACTTTGCCACCAGCTTTTCTCCCTTCTTTCAGTTTTATCCCTTTGAAGGTGTTAGAGACCAGTAACCCCACTTCACACTGTACTTTTGGAGTCAGTGGTCTCCTCCTTGACATGCATAGAGCAAGCTTGCAGCAGCACAGCATCTCTGCATCCCAACTTAACTACATGTGACAGCATAGGAACACCAAGGAAAGCAAGCTGCAAGTTCTTCTCCCTTGCCTCACCTCTCCTGCCACTGCAAGACGTAGAAGTTGAAAGTTAAACTTTTGAGTTACAAGTGATTTCCACTTTGGTGAATTATTTGCTTTCCTGCAGTGCTTTTATAAGCCTGTTTATAATACAATAGACAATGGGAGAAGTTGCTGGGGCTCCCAGTGGACGCATGTTGACAATAAACCCCTGTAACAGAGGTCAAATGTGTGTTCCCAGAATAGTAGAGAACTCGCTGCTTGAGGAGCATAACACTGAAAATGAGCCGATACAGAAGAGATGTCTTATTGTCCAAGCCATTGAGTCAGCTTGGCCCAAGAAGACTAATTTTCCAGAAGATCTGATCTCTTTACTTACTGCAAGGATATGACAACATGTCTCTTCCACTGGTAATGCTTATGTCTGTGTGAAGGTCCCTGCAGTCATAGATGTAAAGCTATTTGAAAAGATTCAAAAAGTGCAAAGAGGCAACACCACCCTGAATGTCATGTTCTTGACCAGGTGCCCCCTTTGGGGGAAAGCCTTTCTCTCCAAGTGAGACACAAGAGTGAGTCAGACAGGGTGGGGTGGCTTTGCACGGTAAGGGGGGGGGAGGAAAAAATTATAAAATGCTATTCCTATTTTTAAGAAGTTGTAACT